TTCTCTAAGTGACACATTGGGGATAAAAAAATATTTGAAGGTACACACTTGAGTGTCTTGAAAGTTAACTTAGTTATACCATGGGGTGTGCAGTGGAGACACGAAGCTGTGAAAATGACAGGCAGTGGCATATTTCTTTAACGATGACAAAAGAAAACCTCAGGGACAATGGAAAAAATGATCACTGAATAGTTCTGCACACATACAACTTACGTCAATTTTAGATCTAAAAAAATACTTTAGAAGGATTTGAATATTACAAGTATTTTATCTACAAAAAAAATGTGTAGTTAATGTGCACAGCTTTTCTCATCACAAGTGATTAAGGGGCCATATTTTGGGGATTTAAATGCATATAATTTCCCGGATTGTGGTGGATATTTGATATTGAACATCGTATCTCAAGCGAACTGTGCACGTAATTTGCACAGTCTGTTCGTGCTTTAAAATTAAAAAAGTGGCAAAAAAATCTTGGCATCCAACGGAAGATGCCCCCGAAAGGCCAAGCCACACGCAGCCCCCGGCATTGTACGGTTGTGCGTATTCATCGGGATGACACACTTTAGAGGGTTATTATTCTATTCCCTCTTGGGTCCTGTCCTTTGAGCAGCTGGTGAGCTTGTGAATCTAATGCACTCCAAATCAATGCCCCGCTGAGCACAAAGCCAAGAAAAAGTTATGATTATTAAAGGTCAAAATGTCCGGTGACAATCAATGCAACTTTTCATCCTGCTTCCCACGAGTGAGCGTATTAGGTTGGTAGAATTCTAATGCTGCCACGTTTTAGCCCGACACATCTGACAGTTGTCTGTTTGCCGTTTTCGAATAATTTGCACGCTCACTTTTACACAATGCTGTTGCTACAACTCATTAATGTGAAATTGGAAAATAATTTGACAGTTGTATTGCCACTCGCAGTTGGAAAAGCCTTTGATTTTTTTTGTTCCGCAACCATGCTTTTTCGTTTGTTCATTTATTGAGTGGATTTATTTGTCAATGTATTTTGTAAAGGCTAGAACATATTTAGTTTATGAATATATTGTGATAATGGTGCACAATTGGATTTAACATGAAGAGGTGCTCCAACTTTTCTAGCAAATGTAACATGCTTTTGACAGTTAAAAAAAATAATTATCGGTTTACTTTGCAAGATGCAATGGTTATGAGGTGCATGTGTGGCCAAAGGGACCCTGGGTCTGTGATAGGGATTTCATCTGACAGAGAAAAGTATTCTGATAGTATGGATATATTTTCCTACAATTAAGCTGACACATGGATTCAATCTCCTGGTGTGGTAGTCGAAACAATGGTGCAAGCTTTCTAATTCCCCCGCCTCTGTCAACTCAGCAGTGTAAAGGAGTCCACTCCTTAGTCAATCAGCAGGGTGCCACGGTGACGATATGTTAACTACCTCACCTGGTATACAGGAGGGCGTGGGTTCGCTGCTGACCCTGACGTCTGTATAGTTGGAGTTTGCATGTTCTCCCCGTGGTCGTGTGGGTTTTTCTCTTGGTCCTCTGGTTTTACCCTCCACACTTATAAACATGCATTTCGAGTATTTGGTTGCTATAAATGTCCACATGGTAAGCCACTTCATTTGGCTATCATTTTGTGGCCAGGTCGCTTCTGAAAAAGAGCTATGTAGCTCAGTGGGCCTTACCTGGTGAAAAAATAATTTAAGAAATAAAAAAAATAGTTTAGTTTAATCGTAAAATGTGGGTTTTCAACCTCTTCCAAGACATCTGGCAAACGTGAGAGAGTATGCTAAACTACCCTCGATATGAACATCCGTGAATAAGATCAGAGCTAATCGGATTCTTCCAGGATGAATAAAGATGCTGATATGGGCTCTCTCGAGAGCTACGACTAATGGAAGCCCTTCCGCCAGCAGTGGCATGAGCCAGAAATTGCAGGGCTGTGGCTTTACCATGTTATATACACAGCCTTGCAAATAGCTGGTGCTCAGTGATGAACGTCGATTGGTAGGTGGACCGAAGTAAAATTCGTGGAAGTTTAAAGTGAGTTGTTGTGTGGGATAGGTGGTGGAGAGGTCTTTATTGCGTGGCTTTGTCCAAATAATCCACAGCTTGAATGCATCTCCAATTAAAAATTTCCCGTGGTATTATTATAACTCAACATTGTTTCTGCAGGACAATGGTAATAAGAGAAGCTGATAAAACAGAGGCTTGTATTTCAATGAATAATTAATTAATCCTCATATTGGTTTAAAACATTTATATGCACGATTTTTCTCATTGAAAGCCAGTAAAGCACTGTCATCCTTTTAATCGAGTGTTCTTCAATAAATTTCGATTTAAAGCTTTCGTGACTGCAGGGATTCATCTTCTTGGTTCTTTCGGTAAAGTCACGTAGAAGGGAAGTAATAAAATAATAAAAATAAAACATAATAAAATAATTCTCACGACGTTTCGACGTTTCACCTGAGGACGGCTGCGTGCGTTGTGGCCGAAACGTCGTGAGAATTATTTTATTATGTTTTATTTTTATTATTTTATTACTTCCCTTCTACGTGACTTTACCGAAAGAACCAAAAAGATGTTCTTCAATAATCAATATACAGTCAAGTTATGCACTCAGTTAAATATTTGCAAAGCAAATCAAGTGCTCTCATTTCATGTGGTCCACAGTGGCCCATATACGTAACGATCTACAGGATAAAAAAGAAAATGTCACCGTGCACTACTCTCAGAATATTCGATACATTGCTTCAGTTTGAGTGTTGAACTCTGGAATTGACAATGACTTGTAAGAATCAACCAGCCTGGTCCTGAAGCGCCGACAGTCCCCACCCCAGTTGTTCTGTTCCCCTCCAGAAACCTCTGGCGCATTGTACCGGGCTCGCGTTCTTGCCATAATAATAACATGAAAGAAAGCATCAACCAGCATACACCGTGCACTGCCAGACCCTTCGTCCAGCAGCACCGCCCACTTTACATAACCACGCCTTCTCAATTTCTAGCCCCTCCCACGTAGAAAGTCCATACACTCAACCACTCGCCGCCCATAGCGAGCTCTTCTCTTTGGGGCGCCACGGTGGAGAGATGTTAACTACCTCACCTGGTATACAGGATTTCGTAGCTTCGATCCCGACCATGATGCCTGTATATAGAGTTTGCATGATCACGTGGATTTTTCTCCGGGTTCTTCGGTTTTTCTTCTCCACATTTAGAAACATGCGTTTAAATCATTTGGCTGCTAGACATTTGCACATGGTAAGCGATGTCCTTCCCCCGTACCTCTGATTTGCACGGTTGGCTACTTGTGAAAAAAGTTCAACATACATACATTTGTGGCCAGGTCGATTTTAAAAATAGCGATATAGCTCGGCGAGCCTTACTTGGTGGAATAACAATTGTTAGATGAGCCGATTTTGGCAAATTCTTCGGGGCACCAGGTGCACCCCCCACCTCCTTGAGACCTAAAAAAATGTGGATTATTCATATTTACCATGAAAATATATTTATAGTTAATTGTTTGAATTCGTAATGTAGGGCCATTTTGAAAAGGTTGAAATTACAGGACCGCCGCCCCCCACCATTTCATGATCCACCTCTGGCCTGTCCTGACATCGCCAAGACGTTGGTCGCTTTAAACTCACTGCATGCTGGAGAGATGAGGAGATGAGCCCCGTTCAACATCGGCTTCATCCTCACAATAGGAAGGTTGGAAATTTCATTCCTGGTCGACTCTGCCATCATCTCTCCAAAGTCAATAAAACGAGGACTACTTTGTGGAACATCAACATTGATTATTCTTCCAAGAGAATGACCCTGTTTGAGGAATAGGGTCATTGACAGTAATGAGCAATCATCTATGGTAATTTAAATGAGAACACAAATTTTTTTTTTGAATTTTACATGACCCAAAATTCTAACTCGGATTCCCTTCCTTGACAGCTTGCTAAGCAATCGGACATATTTAAACACCAGTGTTATATGCGATTCAGCCTCCTTAATTTATCAAACTGTATAACTGTGAGATGAAAGCGACCCCATAATGATGTGCTACCACCTACAGTTATGAGCACCTGAAATTGATTATACTTCAACACTTGCCCTGATGTTTATCATTCCATCTCCCCTTTGGTCATCCCCTCGTGTGTCCTCTCTTGCCTGCCAATCTGTCACACACAATAATCCATACCAGATCATTTGTAGAGAGCATGTCATATCTATATTAAAAAAAGGCACCGCGTGCTAATGTATTTATGCTTACAACCATGCTGGTAACTTTTATGTTCATGTTATGAAACGGTTTAACTGTCGTGCATTAATTTCTATCGGGGAATAATGCTGATGCATGTTGATCTTTACGTAAATGCTCCTAGGCTCTACTGCAGCATTGTTAGAGTACAGTACAGCACTGTCACCATCCTAGAATCTCACCCAGATTCGGAAGAACGCTGGCAAACAGTGGAACAACGCGGATGTCCAGTATAAATACCAAATTCGAGACGCAAACATCTCACCTCCTGGCTTTGACATTCCTCGAAGACACCGATGGTTTAATCATCAACCACATCAGAACACCAACAGGCCGATTCGCACATCTCTTTCATGAACGAGAAATTCAAGACAAGCCACAGCAGTGTCATTGTGGTCAATGAAATCCGAACTGTGGACCGCAGTAAACCATTATAGTCAGCACTCTTTCAACGGAAGAGGAATAGCAAACCTACACAAACTCTCCCCTGAAGCCCTCTCGTCGTGGATAGTAGACCTCAACACTGACGTTTAACTCCTGAACATATTGCCACCATACACAAGAATAGAATTGGACTGCTTCCCATGGACACGACCCATGCCTCACAACAGTGACCAACTGTTCAGTTAAATGCCGAGGACATACGTTCGTACGCACGAATATATTCATAAGGGAAATATGGGCAAGGCCAAGCATGAACAAGCAGGTAGAAACATTATTTTTACATCTCCAATACACAAATACACATAAATCACAAATTGATTTTACGTATGTAATTTTATTGAAACCAACATTTGAACATCGGTTCAGTATTTGCAACGATGGCACACTCACCGTAATTACATTTAATGCTTTTATCAACAGATGTTTTTCAAAAGCAAATAGCACTCTAATTACAAAAAATGCATTTGGAAAGTACCTTCACGACAATATAAATCTCACGATATACTTTGGATAAAATTAGCAGTGCTATCTGAATAATTTAGCGCGTGAGTTATTCGCGTCATTTTTATACTGCAAGGCTGTCACGCTGGGGCGCTCTGTTTCAAAGATGGCTATGGTCTACCAAGTACAGCAATCGGTTGATTTCTTGCAAATTTGAACCATATTCGCCTTGTGCACGTGGCTTACTCGGCACAGGAGATCTGTCCGTTCAACTTGTGAAGCAGACGGGGTGCACGCGTTAGTGTCGCATCCGACGTATTTTTACCCAGGGCAGCCGCTGGGGCTCGAACCAAGAAACCTCTTCAATAAGCGGCAAACGCGCGGACCGCTCGGCCAGGATCAACCGGCAGCCAATCTCGTGTCACCGTTAAAGGACATTCCGCTGCTACTTTACCAACTGAATTAAAGGCACCGATTGATTGAACAAAGGTACACATGCGCTTCCACCGTGTTGCTGTTGCGGGCGGTTTATATTTATTTATTTCTCCTTCCAAGGCAGCCCTCGCCGCCGGCTATAATGAAGCATCACCCATTGTCACACAAGTGTAGGAACGCTCGTAAATTGCTTGTTAACGTTTTAAGAAACAAAGCGGCCGTGTGGCTCCCTGGGTAAAATGGGTGTCACAAAGGTGACAATGCATGAAAAAAAAACATATGAAGGGGATAAAATAAGAAAAATTGTAATGAATAATCTCTGTTGACCTGAATAGCGTACATCTCGTGTCTAGGTTTTGATAGGATGTCACAAACATTAACAATTAATGCTAAAAATAGCGGTGCTGCTACTCAATTTGCCGTGGATCAGAATAATTTGCCGTGCATTTCAAAGAGCTGCGCATATCTGTAACACTTGAGCTGAATTAAGGTAATGTCATTTAATGAGCACTGTAATTTAACCGCTTACAAACCTTGTACACAAAAACCTGACATTGCACAATTGTACGCATGCATGCACATCTGTGTAGAGATAATGGTTGTGCGTTGTAATTGTTCAGTGAACTTGACACAGGAGGGAAAAAAAAATCAGTTGGCTTCCAATTGAATCTTTTTCTTAAGCATTGCGGAAACAAGGCTCCACAAAAGGCAACTGCAGGTGACTGAATATCTGTTGTTCCGTTGTTGCGTTCAAAAACGTGTTCTGCAATTGCAAAAAAAGAAGACGCGATTATAATCTCTCCATACCTGCAGTATTACACAGGTAATCCAAACGAATGGTGATGCGGCGATGCCACTCGACTCGCAACCACGTGGGTTACAAATTCAGAATCAGAATGTGTATTTATATTGGAGGAATCCGATTAGTTATAAAGCTCTTTTTCACAAATGTCCAATAGGGGCGGGTAAAAACTTTCAACAACAAACAATACAAAAACATGATAGCAGTACAAAGTACAGGAAAGGTAAACAAACAAATCAAACTAAACCATCCCCATCCTACCAGGCAAAGCCCACTAAGGTATTAACTTGTTTTTCAGAAGCGCCCTGGCCACAAATGATAGCTTAACTAAGAATCGTATAACTTGGACATTTATGCAAAATAATCAAAATAATCTCAATTCATGTTTTAAAATGCGGAGGCAAAAACCGGAGTACCCGGAGAAAAAAATCCACGCGACCACAAGGAGAACATACAAATTAAAATCCCAGTCAGAGATTGACTCAGCCTATTGTTGCTCAAAGCTTCATAATGCGAGTGCTATTGTTTCTTTAAATAACACTGCTCATGCCAAGAACAGCCGAGGCCTCTGCCACAGGAACGGTGAATGTTTACTCCTGGCTCAGGGCCACCGATGTCGATCACCACTGCTCCATGCCCGTTTGAAGAGCGTTGACACTTTGGTTCTAATTTGATGTCTGGTCAGTGCGGAAGAGTAGGCCAAGTAACATCTCGAGGAGCTCTCTCTAGAGCTCTCTCTAGCAGCGACCCTCTAGCAGTGGAGTGAGCAAGCAATTGCATGGCTGCACCTTTACCTTCAGCATTCTACGAAACGAAATATTTGTAAGCAGGTGTCAAAATATCGGATTTTAATGCCATATTAGGATAGGAGATGTATTGATCATGTTTCCATAAATGTAAGATGAGGATAAATATAACAACACTTCAGGGACATTCCACCCTACTCATCTAACCGTGTAAAATATTTTCAAATGAAACCCATTGACTTTTACGATTCGTGTGGCGGCAGGCAAAATGATCCTGTGAACTCTGAAGGAAATATATATCTATGTATGTTTAACTTCTTTCACACCGTACATAGCCAACTGTGCTGATCGGAGGTGCGGGGGAAGGATAACAAACTAAACACAAAAATATTTTCAAAGAAATTCGTTTTCAATCTAGCTCCAGTGGCTTCCTAATGTTAGAAAGAAGAGCATTCCAGACGGCCGCAGAAGCGCATCTGAAAGCAAGCGATGCAGTGACTTGTCTTTATTCGGTGGTTAGCAAAAAGCTGCTGCAATGATGACCAGACTTTTGTGTGATAAAATGCTTTATACATTTGCTATGCACAACCCCAGAGACCTGCGTGCCTGCAGTTTCTCCTATCCGTAATACAGTGATACCTTGACTTTCATCGCTTCGCTGTTTCGGCCGTTTTCAACTATAACGACATTTCAAATTTTGTCCACGCGGCTTTCATCTTTCGTCCGATTTCACCCCAAACCTTCCACGACGTTTGCGCCACGCGCCGTCTTTTTCGCTCAGTCTTTGAATAGACTTCTAGATTTGAAGCGTTCGTGACTGCAAGGATTCATACTCTTAATTCTTTGGGTAAAGTCACGTAAGTAAAAAATGAAATTAAAATTAATAAAAAATAAAAAAATAAAATCACGACGTTTCAGAGGCAACACAAGTCTCCGTCATCAGGTGGGACCGTCACAGCCAGATTTGCTGCATCAAGTGGCTGTGACGGTCCCACCTGATGACGGAGACTTGTGTTGCCTCCGAAACGTCGAGATTTTATTATTTTATTTTCTATTAATTTTAATTTCATTTTTTACCTACGTGGCTTTACTCAAAGAACTAAGAGTACTTTGAATAGAAGTCGTTCAGTGAGCATCTCTTATATTTGTGTTTATTCATATATTATTAATACTGTACTTATTTATGTGATTATACTGTAAACAATTCATAGTTATTTTTGTGATAACAGTATAATACTACAGTGTTAATAGTTATTTTCGTGATTATAAAACACGTGAGGATGATTGCTTGTGTTGCAGTCGAAACGTCGTGAGGATTTTGTTTTATATTTTTATTATTTTATTATTATTTCCCTTCTACGTGACTTTACCGAAATAACAAAGAATATAGTATTCATACTGTGCTTATTTTGTGATTACTGTAAAATACTTATTTTTGTGCTTTAATATATTCACAATGGGTCCTAAGTGTGGTGATAGTAAAGCTAAAATAACCCATGAGGTTCTCAATTTACGAGAAAAGCTTGACATAGTCAAACTTAATGAGCAAGGCATGTCCCATGCTGATATGAGTCGCAAGCTCGGCGTACCTCGCACAGGAGTCAGTACAATTCTTAAGAATAAAGCGAAAGTGTTAGAGGAAAAAAAAAATCTACGCCAGTGCATACCAAACTCATTAGAAGACGGCACAGTTGCATTGCGGTTCTGATGATGAACCTCATCCTCACAAATGTTCTCCTTCCTATATTCTGAATCTAGACTCCCCCTAAACCACCGATATATTCATCGTCCACTTACGCAAGAATACAAATATTTAAAGATATCATTTAGTTTTTTTAGATTTGCTTATTTATTCTCATGTTTATTTTATTTCTGTTTATTTAGGTTTCGCACGCATGTGTTCTATAGTTACTGTAGTTATACAGGTAGGAACAACAGTTCCACACTGCCCACCAGGGATTATTTGTCTGTCGTGCATAGCCCCTCCCAAACATGTACACTCCCGGATTGGTTGAAGTGCGTCACGTGACCGCGAGCTTTCTTTCGTGCACGAATGCGCTGTCCAACCAAGTTCCTACCTGCCCACTCCGAAGGAACGTTTTTTGCATGTACGTTTTTTGCTGGCCCAAAATGAATTTGCAAGCTAAATAAAGGCTCTGCTTTGACATTCTTCCACTTTTGACATTCGTCCATGCTCTGGTCCCTAACCAGACGAAAGTGCGAGGTGTTCCTGTGCTCTGTATTAGTTGCTTTAATGGGCTAGACTTTGCAAAGGACTAGATGAAGTCAAAGCTGTACAGCATAGCCATTTTAAAACAAATGTTAATGTTTACATTGATCTGTCAAACCCTTAGGCATCTGGGGGGGAAAAAACGAGAGAGCAATTAAACTGTTTTTGCTTTTTTATCGGTATTACTATACTAATGCACTGAAGCAACAACCATTCATTTATACAGAGATCTATAAATGTTTTAGATCTCAATAAACCAAATATTGGCTTGGAAATGTTTAATCCAGAGATGCTTCTCCTAACTCGGGACGGGGGGGGGCATCAGCCTGAGAGAAATACTTCAACGAGGCAGAGTTTAAGAATTGTAATTAAATCTGTTTGGACAAAAACGTCAGCACACAATTGTTGCTCTTGAAAAGAAATTCACTGTTGTCATTTGCTTCCATAAAAATTAGCACGCAGCGTGTACTTTCAGTAAAATTCACACTTTGGGTTTGATTCACGTACGGTTTTTTTTTTCACACTTTTGAAGAATTTTGGTGTTAGTTGGAGGTTCCGCAAAAGCAATTGCGCCGAATGTGTGAAGCGGTTTGTGGGCCGTTTCCTTGCAAAACATTTCATAGCCAATCAGTGCACACGTTTGCGACCGTGTGATAGCTGCGCCAGCCTCCGCCAAAGTGTGGAATGGCTTAGTGCTTCTTATAAAAAAGATGATGATGCAGACGATATTAAAATGACGAAGATAATTGGAGTAATGATGGCAATTTGCAATGATGATGGTGGTAATTATAACTGAAGATGATGACGATGATAACAGTGGCTCTAAAGATGCTGAAAAACACATGACGGTAATGATCAAATAAGTTGATGATGAAGGTTAATAATGGCAATAATACTTATTAAAAAAAGAATGTTCAACAGCCATTTGTCAATTCTAGATTTGAAGCTTTCGTGACTGTAAGGGTTCATACTCTTAGGTTTTTTCGGTAAAGTCACGTAGGTAAAATTAAAATTCATAAAAATTAATTTATTTTACTTTTATTAATTAGAAAAAAAACTTCCTACGTGACTTTATTGAAAAAACCTAAGAGTAACCATCTGTCAGTCTGCTGCCTAACGAAAGTCTCCCCAAGCCGTGCTCGTCACGAGCGCTGTCTGATCATATTTGATCATACTGGCCAGTGCAGGTTGGTCAAGGGTGGTCAGGGCTGGTTCAGATATCAGGTGCCACTGACTCATGTTAGCCGTGCTCAGGAAACTAACACAGGTGACGATGTTCATAATGACAAAGGGTTGCATAGTTGTTGGGCAAAGAACGCTCGGGCCTAGAGGCTAGTGAACTCAACACACCGTGTAACTATTGCAGTTTTAAATGCAGAGATGTGACTGCTAGCACCAAGTGTATTACATTTGAATTGCATGACATCAGTGTCTTTTGTTTTGCTGGTTGCCTAAAGCCAGGGCTGGACATTCCATAATCCTATGGAGGGAACTGGTCTGCCTACAGGGCAACCAGTGCCGACAAAGTGGTAATCATTTTATTGCCCCCCTCCCAGTTGGATTTGAAATAACTGGCTTGTATGAGGCAGGCAAGTTGCCCCACCTGGATCTGTGCAGTTGTATGAGGATTCAATTCAAATGAAATAACAAGGGGTTAAGACAGCTCATTCCACTGCAGGCAGGAGGCCTTGTATCTTTCTGAGGGCAGCGTGTAACCTTTTCTTTCAAAATTGGCCAGACAAGCTTGTCTGGAGGCTAAATTCACAAAGCAGTCACTGTCAGCAGTATGTACCGGTGAAAATGTTTACGTGCTTGGCAAGGCCGAAGCAATACTGGATGAAGTAACTTTGACCAAGCTTTTTTTTACCAATGCCTGGACACAAATTGTTGAAGTACTTCTAGAATGCACGTTCCAGTTTCAGTTACAGGAAAACCTCACCCAACGTGGCTATATCGGACACGTGTTTCGGCTATAATACGCACGG